TAAAATTTGGCGCTCTGACTTTCAATTCCATTCACGAGTGGAAGATGCAACAAATTATTCAAAAAAAATTGAGAAAGTCAGAGCCCACTGTTGCACTCTTTTGAACCGTCATCAACAAGCCTACTTTTCCGACAATATGAATCTCTCGGACAACATCAGCAATAATAGTAACTGTACAATGACCATGATGACGAAGACGGATCCCATTTCATTCAGAACCGATTTTTTTGGAAGGCTTTCATCGAGTTCATGTTGGCCATTTTGCTTCAATTCCGATTGTGTTGCCATCGAACAACAGCCAACAGTCATCATCATCCAACCACAACAACAACAACAACATTCAAGATGAAGAAACTAATTTAATGGCCTCCGTGGATGGAACTACTTGCTTTCTAGATCAGGATTACCAAGATTGTAAAACTAGGCTCCTCATGCAAAGCTTCTTCCTGCCAAAGGCTTCCATTATCAATATTTCAAATTGTGGAAGGAAGGAAGTACAGAATTTTATCAAAATGAGCAAGAGTATTTCAGTTTTGGACAAGGCCAATGAAGAAGTTGGAGTTGGCAAGAATGAATTTGCTTATTTGAGGTAGGTTGGGAATTACTTTTAAAAGTGCCACTTCTTGCAAACAATTTAACCCTATTTCGAAATACCAACTTTTAAATAACAACGAATACTAACAGTGACTTGTGGAATCAAATGTTCAAACTACCTCAAACGATGCTCAAATATAGTGGCAAGCATGAGAGTTTTTGGAGAGGAGGAATATTCTCCACCTTGTATCGTTTTATTACTCGTGATTACGAACACATTTTTGATGAGAATAGAGATTTTCAATGCATCGATAGTGGGTCAACTCAGGACAGCAAATACTCAGGTGACCTAATAACTTCTTCCTTCCTGTCAGGTGACATTGTTAGTAATAGTACCAACATCAACAAAATGAAACTCGATGGCACCTTCTTCATTGGCTTCAATCATCAAAGAAATAAGGAAATTCGTGAACTCACTCGTCGTATGGTGTCTGCGTTGGCAACTGAGGCATCGACCACGAGAAGTGTCATCCTTCCTCAAACAACATGCGTTGCTTCTGATACCATTGTATCACCCACTTCATCGAAACAGCAAAAGCAATTTCTCGATCAAGCCTTCCAAAGTGGAACCTTACTTCCTTTCTTTGGATCTTGTGAGCGTAATGACACCACTGGAAATCAATATCAAGCCGAAAACGAATTGAGTTTGATGCTTAAATTGTTTCTTGAGACTCAGTATACCTTTTTCCAAAAGCTAGGCTCCAAACCTAAGAAACGTTTTGTTTCTGGTCTTACTTGTGTCGGTCCTCTTGTTACATGCTTTGTGATGCGAAGATATCATACTGTTGTAGAATCATTCGAAAGTGATATCAGCTTGAAGAAGAATAGTAGTAGCAATGTTGAACCAATTTACGTCATGCAACCTTTAGATACATTCAACTTGTCCAACTATGACGACTTGTTGAGATGTGCCAAATATCTCACTGGCGTAAGAAAATTAGGAGAATCTCTTTTTGCGGAAGTGAGAAATGCTCTGAGACATCTTTGTGGCTTGCCTTTGTTGGGTTGCAATGAGAAAAAGACATTAAACAGTGCTCAACAACTTTCAAATGAGAACAATCAATCAGATTCAGATCCAAGTCATGACAATGGTTCTTTAGTATCATCCAATCATATGGGAAATGCTCATAACCCTAATGAGAAAGTCAAGAATTCAAATCAACAACATGCCAAATCTTCTTCAAATGCCAGCAAATCCAACGTGTCTGTTAACCAGCAACTGTCTGTATCTCCAAAAGCAAACAGCAACAGACGAGAAGAAAGAACTCCTTCGAGTGGTGAAAAAAGAAAGCAACCACCCACGCCAGCGAATGGCACCTCCAGCATTAGTAGTAATGGAACAGCCACGCAAGAATCCAAGTCACAGTCTAGTTCACAGGTTCAAAAGAAGCAAAAAGTGAACGCCAGCACTGCCATCTCACCAGAGAGAACTTCTAGACCAGCAGCGGAACAAACACCAGGAGAGCTGACGATGATGAACAGCAACAACATCACCAATAATGAGGAGACAAGTCAAAGGTCCACTCAACAAGATTCTGTTTCCAGCAGTGCTAACGATAGTGAACGAATGATTGTGGACAATCATGAAGCTTCAAGTGACCTTGATGAGTAGATAATCTAAGGTAAAATATCATTATTGATTGGACACAATAAACCTTGACACATCTTTCCAAACTGGCTCAATGTTGCTGTTTCTCAATTCTCACAGGCATAGGAAAATTACAAACCTGGGTAAATACTTGGTCCTCTCTGAAATCAATGCGGTCGGTAAGCTATTTCGGGCATTAAAAAAGCCCAACAACAACAACCACGCATCAACTTCGACCATCAACTTCAAACGTTCACTCACTTCTAAAGCGTTGGCAGCCGTAGTCTTCGAGTTGGTACCCACCTCCTGTTTTGTCGGATTGGCAATTTCAAGAACAAAGGAATCGCGGTGTTGTTGTGAACGAATTCAGAATCTGGATTGAATCGATCTTTCTATTTCACATCTAGAAAATTGAGTCAAGTTTGTCAAACTCTCACATCTCTAGAAGAGATTTCCAAAGTTATTCGTTGGAATATACTTTGCTTCTTCCGAATTCTTCTCGCTTTCTTCTCACAAGATGTATCAACCAAATAATAATAATAATAATAACAACCAAAGACCTTCATCATCATTAAAGAGTAGTACGAGTAGTAGTAGCAACACCAGCGGTATGGCCTCATCCAATAATAATATTATTAACAACAACAACAATAGCAATCATCATCACTTACCAATCATCATGATGGGTCATACCAATCCAAATTCCATTCAATCACAACCACAGCAACAACAACCACTTCTCCAAGCAACTCCGAGTGCTCATTCTCTCCTCGATACAACAACTACTTCTCCATTATTTGGCTTTTATCAACAACAATCATCTCTTCCTACAACCTCACAGCTTCAACCATCTCAATCATCACATCAACAAGATCAATTATTTGCTTCCTTTCTTCTCAATCATTACCTCTTGTTGCAACAACAACGAGAAATGCATCAACAACAGCAGTCACAACAAAACGAACTCTCTCCAAATCAACTTCAACAGCAAGCCATGATTAATAACATGATGTTAATGATGTCCATGATGAATCCGATTCCTAACGTTATTTCGCCTTCTCCAAATTTACCCATATTGGATTCACAACACTATTCACAACCGCCCATCCTTCAATCAGTGTCATCCTCTAGTAACACATTTGTCACTAATAATAATAATAATACTCTGTCTTCTCTTCAAAATGGAACCTCTTCCGATGTACCTACAACAGCCATCTCCATTCCTGAACCACTTTATGAATTGTATATAAAACCGATTTTAATGAGTTTGCAGAATTGTGGGTTGTATTCAGGCTCGAATCAACCACAACAACAGCAACAAAAATTGCAAGAAACTCAGCAACATGAAAATCAACTCACTTCAAGCAGTGATCATATCAGCAATAGCGGACTCCTATTGTCACCAGTGAACATGACCAGTAGTGACAATCAACAACAAAATGAACTGACAATTACATCACCAATTTCATTCTCCGTTGATGATTCGAATTTAAGAGCAGATCATAACAATAATCAATCGATGAGCGAAATGAATAATGTAATTTCACAACAAGCATTACTCGAAAGCTTACTTTTGGAAGAAGGCTTGGCCTCAGTTGTGGAATTGTTGGAAGATCAATCAAATATTAACAATAATACTAACTGTAATATTTCAAATTGTGACAAAGATGAAGAAAAGAAACAAGAAGCTCACAAACATTACGATCCAAAGTTAAATAAGAAAGGTCTCAAGAAGAAGCGTAAATATATCAAATCAGGTCTATACAAAAAGACAAGGATGGAAATTTTTATTTTCGAGTGGTGACAGAGCAAGATTAGCTCAAATCAATAATCCATCCAACAAACAATCAGAGGGCGAACTTGGTCACAATGAAGATTTCGGTCCCAATGAACATCAAGGATTTTACATGGAGGATGAAAACAGCTTGATAGGAAGCATTGAATCAAAAACAGTGGTGCATCATCAAGTGGTGGTGGGATTGATTTGGTCTAAGTGGAAGCAGTTCCTTGATGAATTCATCACAACAAATTCAGTCTGACAAGTCCATGAATCGATGTGGCAGTTTCCACGATTTATTAGGAATTGAGGACAATTTTGATGGTAATGAAAACATGAATTTTCTAATGGTGCCGCAGCAAGTAGTAGCAACAGCGGAATTGGTGCAGTTAATCCTTTGCTTCCCCACTCAGCCTAATGATGAACAGTTACAACAGCTTGGATTCGAACGATATTTTTCAGACCAATTGCTTCACATTGAGAATGGTGATGGCATGTCTGGGGAGGAAACGTCACAACTGAAAATTTTAGTATGGGCTCAATGGCAGCTCTTATCGGATGCAGAAAAGAAGAAATATATTGACCTTTCACTCAATGGTGACATGACAGAGACATCATATATTGCTTCGTCACAACCACAACAATCACAACTACCAATACGTAGAGATTCCAAGAATTCAATGGATGACACAACCACTACAGGAAGTAACATGTTATTGTATCCACAACCTAATGCCACTATTGCATCCACTCTCTCAAACAATAATTATAACAGTAAGAAGAGACCATCTGTAAATGAATATGAGGATAATGATAATGGAGAGCATCAAGATAATGCATCGAAGAGAGCGGATCTTTCAAATCGAGTGAAGAAACCTATCAGTGGTTACAACAGCTTTGTGAAGAGTGTGTTCCCTACGTTTCAAGAACAGTATCCAGATGTGGATAAGAAACAAATTACCAAATTGATAGGTCAAAAGTGGAAGTCAATGAGCGAAGAGGAGAAAAACCTTACTTGGAAATTGCAAAACAAGCTCAACCAATTGTCAAGAAACCACTCAATGCTTATAATATTTATTGCAAGGAAAAGTATTCACAATTTAAAGCGGAGAATCCCACGCTCCCACCCAATGAGGTGAGTAGAATGGTCGCTCAATCATGGAAGAATGCTAGCAAGCAAGAGAAGCAAACCTATTTTGAAATGGCAGATCAATGGAAGAAGGATCATGGCATGCAGGAAACATCTGCTGCTAATGGTCATGAAGGATCTTCCACCGACGATTTAAAACCAAAAACAAAGAAGAAAAAGACGTAGTATTGAAATAATAAAATAATAATATTATTTAATTACCAATCTTGCTAATAGATCTAATGATCTATGAAAAACCGTAATTTCGTTGAAACAGAATGTTCCTTACAATGAAAGTTATCAATATATTGCAATTCAAAGAAAGAAAGCCTTAAGGTTGGTTGGACTTTTCTTTCAATTTTTGTAATCTCTGCTTCTCAATTTCTTGGAGAATTTCACGATGATTTATCTGAGGTACTGCTCGCATTTCTTCCGTTGGTTGACTTCGTTTGACCACTTCTTCTAGAACTTGGTCTTGTCTCTCCTTATTCGCCATACGTTGTTGGCCTTTAACTGCCATCCATGAAATAATCATGACAATGGCTAAAATTACAAGCGTCAAACGAGCAGGAATTTTCTTTCTATTCGAGGGACGAACTCTAACTTCTCCATACAATTTAATCATTTCATCAATTTGTTCCTTGGCGTAGTGTTTTTCATCCTCAGTAGCTGTAGGGTTCATTAATAACTTCATGAATCGATCGAAACGATCGTGGTCCTTAATCCACCATCTCATCTGTTGTCTGAAAGTAATTTTTTATATTCTGCCTTCTCATCAATTTGAGCTTGTTCCCAAGCTTTTTAAATTCATTTGGATCCATATTTTCGAAAAATTGCTTTTGGAAATTGTCTCTAATTTGTTCTCTTCTTTGTGCAAATTCTTCTGCTTCCAGCTGCTCTTCACGTTCTTCTCTCATTTTCTCGTAGGCAGCTCTTGAATTTGGTGGTGGGGGTGGAGGATTTGTAACTTGAGAGGATGCTGCTGATGTTTTGGGTGGACTGCTCAGAGAGGAAGATCTACCCAATCCACCCGAAAAGAAAGGCTTTCTATTCGAATGTTGTTGTTTTTGTTCATTGGTTGTATTATCCTTCATCATCATGGATTGATGAAAACAAGAACAAGAAGCGGCAGAAGATTTTATTCGACTTGATTGAAAATTTTGTAACCACCATACGGATCCATATGATGATGATGCGAATGATGAAACATTGCCTGCATGCAACAACGAAGGATGATGAAAAATCGTTCTTGATGATGAAATCATTTTTTTGAAAAACTAATCGGGCCGACCAATTAAAAATTCCCGAATACGTGTTTCAAAAAGTTGTTATAATTATAATCTGAATTGTTACAGAATGAATTGTTGAAAGAATTGATGATGATAACTTCCTAGTATTTATTAAACAACCATAATAGTAAAAATTAGAGAAAGTTGCTTAATGATTAAAACCATCATCAGCAAGAACATTGAAATAATCATCATCGGTCTTTCTTCAAATTTACAGTGAGTCATTCATTCAAACCCTTAATGATGGCGACGATCATGGGCCACCTGTTGCTGAATGGCCACAATAATTCCAGCTAATGAAGCACATACAATAATCAACACATTAAATCCAAAGAGACCCCAAAAGAAGGAACGAGCCAATTCTCCAAATCTTCTCGCTTCTGGAACCACATTAGTCCTATATTTGAACACAAACAAGTACGGAATACAACTTGCAAAGGGAGTACAAAAGAAGAATAAGAACAAACTCGTAGCAAAGGCAGCAGCAAAGGCATTCCGAGCCTTATTGATTTGTTTGCTCTCATAGTAATCATCGTCTTCATAGGTTTTCGTGGTGAGCGGTGTGGAAGCACTGGAGGCTGCTCCAATATATGGAACCGTAGTGGGTTGGGCATGATAGTGATGATGCTGCCGAGGAGGAGGTTGTTGAGACAAATAGGGTTGTTGCTGAGGAGGTTGTTGAGGTGGGTTAGTGTAGTAGGTGTGAGGTGGAGGAGGTTCTTGGAAGGAAGGAGTTGGATCCATGGTGTTGAGAATGTGATGAAAAAGCAATAGATGAAGAATTGATAATATTAACAATAATATTGAGGGTTGTGTGCTCTAAAAGTGTCACAGATGTAAACCTTTTTCACAGTAAGATGAAAATCAAAAGGTGATAACTACAACAGTCAAAGGAGATTTAGCAGTGAGAGCGACAAAGAATAATTAGTGTGTTTTTTCACTGCTTGTCGATAGTGAGTGAATGATGGATCCAACACCTCGACACGACAATTTGAGGAAAGAACTCTTATTTGGATAAATGATGAGTTTGGAAAAAGGCACTCTAGTGTATTGAGGTCGTATAATGTTTCAATTAATGGATGAAATAGGTTATAATGCTTCTATCTAGACCTTACTTACATCTATTAATTAATTGAAACATTTTCCGATGATGGTCATTTGGATATCATGAATTTCACAGAACATTATCATATTTAATGCCTTTCTTCAATGTAAATACAAATAATAATTTAAATCAGACTAAGAAGAAATCAAAAGGACACACAAGTGTAAACTCTCTTTTGTAATTATTGGATATGGAGGATAGCCACCATAAGGAGGTTGTTGTGGTGGATAGCCGCCATAAGGTTGTTGAGGAGGATAACCTCCATAAGGTTGTTGAGGTGGATAGCCACCATAAGGTTGTTGCTGTGGTGGGTAGCCATATCCTTGTTGAGGTGGATATCCGTATGGTTGTTGTTGTTGCTGTTGAGGAAAACCTTGTTGTTGAGGTGGATTTTGACTATCGAGTTTGTGTTTCAAAGAAATTGAATTGTCAGAATGGATTCACTTTTGCTTTCATTGATATTCATTATCACTTACCCAAAATCTTCTGCCAATAGTTCAACAGTTAACAAACCCTTCTTGGAGTAGGTTAATTTCAAATCAACGCGTTCAGGAATTCCTCTCGTAAGTGTTCCCAATGCAATGGTTGCTTTTCCTATGATATCATTTCCTCCAAATCGATCATAATCATAAACTTCAAAAGTGATCGATTCTGTGGCAGCATTCACTGTGGGAGGAATATCAAAGAAGAGAGTTGTGTTCCAGGTTGGATTACAAGTCTTGTTGACATGATCGGTTTTGTGAGTCACTCCTGCCACGGTGGCTTTCACATAGGGATCTATGAGGATGTGAAATGTCATGATCATTCACATCAACAACGTCGGTTGAATCAAGCCAGAGTGTCACGCCAAATATGATCAGTGGGATGATCATTGTTATTTGAATTTCAAAATTATCGAATATATATAATTATTAAAACCTACCTGATGTACCTCCAACGTCCTTTCCTTCGAGATCTCTTGCTGAAATGATGGTAACTTTAAGACGGCCCATGATGATGACTGTTGTGTGATGTGGTTGGTGGTTGTGTGAAATTTCGGAAGTGATAACTTTGATTTTTTTAATGTTGTTATGACTTGCGAACAATTGTTTCACAAACCCTTTTATGTGCAGAAAAGTGGTTGTTCATGAAAAATCCAAAAGTGAACTTAAGAAAGGGTGCTCTTTGGGGGATAGTCGTATCTGCTCTTTTATGAGCCAGGAGCATTAGAACTTAGCAAGTTTCGAAACAAAGGTCGCAGTGTCATTCATTTTGTCTGTCTGCAACGGACCATTCAATATTGAATAATTTTCCTCAAATGACTCAAAAGTTTTCACAGAAAACAGTGCAATTGTAAAAATCGGAACCACCTCGAGTTCTTTTAGTATTTTCTAATTGGAAAAAATGTCTTCTCAACAAGAAGAACGACAACACCTGAGGAAGAAATTGTGGAGTTACAAGATGAAGAGCAAGTAAAAACAACAACAAGTATTACCAACAAGGAGCAAGAGGAGCTTCATCAGAATGTATCGGAACACAAAGAAGAGCAACCACAACAGGAGGACACTATGGATGATGAAAAACCGAAAATTGTAGAAATTGATATTTCTCAACATGTACACGATTCTAGACTTTCCTTTGATCTCAGATCGGATCTTTCTACGGTTGGTCATGATCCGAGCAAGATTGAATTTAAAGCACCTTTGGCTGGAGCTATTTTGAATTTAATTTATTCGATTGTTTATTTAATATTATCATTGATGGAAATTAAGTGGAAACATGATTTTCTTGAAAATATGATGATGATCATCATGATAAAATGGATGAAGATCAAGTGGAAGGTTTGACCTTTGTTGGATTATTTTGTTTGATCGTCGGAGCTGTGATTAGCTTGATTGGATCTATGGCTGGAGTGTTAAGTTGTTGTTTGTTGTGGAAGAAGGAACAAGTTATGAAATGGATGAACCGAACTAACAGAGCATTTGTGAATATTTCCTTGTTGATTGCAGCACTTTGGCTTGCCTCGACTATTATTTCTATAATTCCATTTGGAGCGCTCTATCTCATTATGAATTGTACAGTTTCTATTGCTGACTCTAAAACTGTAAATGTGTTGCCAATTTTGGGCATTTTGTTGGGTGGTGTGTTTGTGGTATTCTCAATTCTATTGACAAGAAGAATATGGACCAATAAGGCTCATTTTGGCGATTATGGATTTACCTTTCATTAGGGTCAATCAGAGTCGCTGTGCCAATATTCCAACCATGATTCATTCATTCATTAGTCATTGAATCCTATTCCATTCAACAAAAAATTGAATTCTCTCTAATTATTTATTATTAAATAACAATCCATAAATGCCAAATTTCGAATCAAATCTTTGACAACAACTCGGATCACCATCATTCCACTCAGAAAGGTTAAAGCTTACTCATTCTTGGTGCTGTTTGAGATGACTTTAAAATTTCCAAAGCCACTTTCTGACCAGTCTCCATTGCTCCGTGAATGGTCGCTGGTGAGTGTTGACAGTATGCCTCTCCAGCAAAATAAATTTTCGAATCAATAGGTTGACCCAATACAACACGTGGTTGTTCAATATAATGTCTCTTGGAAGCATCAGTGGTGAGAGCAAAACTATAGGCACCTGCCACATGATGAATATTTTGCCAATTTCGAATATCTCCTAAATATCCGTCATTGTTGTCATTCAAGTGATACGTTTTTGAATGAATTTTCTGAAATGTTGTTTGATTTCTTCGTCGGTCATGTGAAGAGCATTATCTGCTCATACTCAGTGATAAGATGATACATTGTTTCAGTTGCAATATGAATTGATCGTACGACATTGAATTTGTTTGTTCATCAATAATCATACCACTTGAATGAGATAGTCTTTGATTTGTCTATTTCTATGGTAGCCAAGTCACATGTAATCACCTAGAATCCTGATGCTATGAATTCAGTTGCATATTATGAGGAATAATTATCGTGTTTGACATGAATTCAATTCACCAATGTACAATTGTTACATCAATCAATCGTTTGCACCAATGAGATGATAGAAGTCAACCACTGAGAAGAGAATTCATCGCTGACTAACTGCTCATATCATGGCATATCGTTGCATTGTAAATGAAAATTCGTTTTGAATGAACAAAATGAATTGTTCATCAATAATCGCACCAATAGATGAGGTACTTACTGAGAAGAAAACCCAATCCACAATTGGATTCGTTGCAGAAAATTAAAACAACTTTCAATGGTATTTTCAACTTGTTCACACGTCCCACAAAATACTTCCTTCTCCATGAACAAATTCGCCTATCATGTTCAAGACATGTTAGACATTTACGAGGTCATTTATAAATATTTTGAATTTTTCACACACAAAAATTGTTGTGCAATTTCCATTTTAGTACAATTTAAAAATTACATAATTTAACAATAATTTTTCATCACATGATAATCATCCTCTCTGCACTCAGAAAAATAATTTTACATACCTCCGAGTTCAATTCCTCGTTCTCTATTCGAGCAAACTCTTCCTCCAATTCTTTCACTTGCTTCCAAAACCATAAAATCATGTTGATCATTTTCAGCGAGTGTGTTTGCAGCCGTTAATCCAGCTGCTCCTCCTCCAATGATACAAATTTTGTAATGATGACGAGAATGTTTGTGAGAGGACAAAGTTTGTTGCTTGTTCATGAATTTTTTCGAAAATTCAAAAACAAATTGATTGTTGACACTCAAGTCAAGGACTCTCTCTGTCATCCATATTTGAAAGAAATTGTCTCAGTTCTCATTCAGTGCATTCAGTGTTGTTGTTGTTGTCGACCTTGAATTGTCATAATTGACAGGAGGAAAACAATGAAATTCAGAAATTACAATAAAAAATAATGGAACAAAGGAATGCCCTTCATCATCAGAACGATTCGAACAACAACAACAACAACCATCCGAATCATGAAAGAGATTTGGAGAAGCATCATAATCGTATAGAATCAAAAAGGTAGGATTGTAGATGACAAAATCATTCCGATCAGTGGTGATGATCATCAATTCAATTTTCGGAACAATGGGACTCGGAAAATTAATAATACCTCATGAATCAATTAATTTATTAATTAATTTTTGGATCTAATTTCAATGTTTACTTTTTGTAAACTCCCTCAAATTTAAATTTAAACCATTCCTGTCTATAATTTTAAAAATTAGGAAACTGATAATAGTAATCCCTCTATTGATTTGGAAAGCCAGCAACATCTTACTCAACAACCATTCATCACCAATGATGATGAGCAAAGCAATTTAGACTTTTACGAAAGCTCATTCTCAATATTTACTCCATTGAAAGAGGAAGAGGCTCCCAACAGTCATTCTAACATTCATTCATCAACAAATACATATTCCTCAAAACGAACCATTCAATCTTTTATATCCTCACTTTTCAGTCATTCCATTACATGGCTTATTATTGTTTCAATTTTAACTGTTTTACTCTGGCAATTGCCTTCTGATGTTGGAAATTATATTATTTATCCATTTACAATATTTGGAACGTTTTGGCATGAATTGGGACATGCCACAACGGCCCTACTTTGTGGAAATACTCGAGTTTATCAAAATTGAAAGCAATGGAAGTGGATTAACAGTGTATCAAGATGTGACTCAAAACACTTTTGCAATGCCTTAATAAGTGTGAATGGACCATTGGGACCCACGTTTTTTGGATGTCTCATTATTTGTTTGAGTGTTGCATTTGTGAAACATGAATTATTTTCGAGAGTGTTGTTGTCCACCATTGCCACCATTGTGTTGATAGTGACCGCACTGTTCATTCGAAAATCAATATTTGGAATGGTTTTTCTTCCAATAGTGTCTCTTGTGTTGTATGGAATAGCACTCAAAGCACCCAAAGTTTTGGTGACCTTCTCTTTGCAATTCATTGGTGTACAAATGGCCATTTCCATGTATGAAAATTTCATGTACTTGTTCTCCAAGATGAATGGAAAATCTGATACTGGATCTGTGGAAGTTCTCTTTCGTGGAGTGATCCCTTATTGGCTGGTAGCGATTTTAATTATTGTGATTAATGTGACATGCATGACATTGAGCTTGTGGTTTGTCATTCGACATTCTTTGAGAGTTCGTCAATCATCATCCTCTGATGAGGCAACAGTAGTGGTGAACCAACAACGGTGACACCACTCAATATCTTATTGTGCATGCTTCATCATCCACTACTACAGTGATTATATAAATGACAATATATGAAGCATGAATTGCCAATAAGTATTAAAACGAATTGAGAAACCCATGTCGCCTTGGACCTAATTGCATTCATACGCACTCGAAAGGACCAGGGTTCCCCACATTCTTTTGGGATGGTTATAACATTGGCTAGGTAGTGATCTTTCTATTTGTGTGTTCTGTATAAAGTAACTGTTTATTAATTAATAGGAAGCATTAAACCTACACCACAACTTGGCAGATATGCCAAAATTTCTAAACCAGGAAATTTAACAATTTAAGGCGCCCACAACAATAAACAACAACAAATATCAAGGGAAGAATCTGTGGAATAATTTCTACAGCTCCCAATGAAACACTTGTGAATCACGTGGTTGATGCATAAATCCCTGTGAATAAAATAAAGGCCAACCATCATCGTCATGACCACCATTACATTGAAATTGTCATCATATAATAATAGTACCATATTGAATTAAATTAATTTTGATTGTTTGTTGTTGTGAATTGTCATCAATAGTTTGTAGTTGTGAATTCCACTGTTGGTGATTCTGAAATATTATTAAAGTCCTTTAGATGATAAGTGTTTGTATGTTGTTGTAAACAAGTAATTGTTGTACGTTGCTGTTGTGAATGATTTTGTTGTGTCTCATTGACCTCACAGTATGGTATGAATCGACAGAACGAGCAAATGATGTTTCACTTAACACTCTTCCTGATGTTGTTATTGAGCCGTTCTTGGTTGAGAAAGTATTATCAATCGATCGTCAAACACATCCATACTATGATCTTGGTGTGTACTTAAGTTGGTATGAGGACATGTTATCTTCCTCTGGCAATAAATTTCCTTCAGCTACTCCAATCTTGGATGGATTGAAGACGAATATGTTGCTGAGACGTTGGGCAAATTCTAGAAATTGAAAGTACTTGTTGCTCACAAATAATCCAATCGCTTGCCTTACTTTTGGAAGTTAGTGAACACAGATGACACCAGCTAAGCTTCGCTATTGGGTGCTATATCATTATATTCTAAATAATCTTTGAGACGAGAAATTCCAAAATATTTGCAAATTTTGAGTGGTCAACCAACGGTTGAACTTGTACCAATGTTGATTGCTCAAATGCATCACCGATATGGAGTGCATTGTACGCTCTAAATAAATAGAGAATGGCATTGATGCATTCTTCATTGTCAAATCTTCGTTCATCTTGCTGTCTTCTTTTAATTTCTGATCTAATATTCGTCAATGCTTGGGCGTAAGTTGCAACCTTGGCCGGAAGTACGATCTTCTGTATTAATGTCTTTCACTGTATCCTTGTAAATGGAAAATATCTGGAATTGTTGTTGTTAAGTTCATGATACCACAAATCAATGTCATTCAATATAATTTTCAAATAAGCTTCTCGATCCTTTCGATTGGCAATGGTATCCAAGTTGAAGTATGAAAACCACTTTCAACCTTTTCATTGTCCAATTCAATTGAACCAAAATTTTCAACCCATCGTTTAGCATCTGGTGAGTCGATCAGGTATGTTCCATTTTGCACGATGCTAATAATCGATCTGAAAATCCCACTTACTTCTCTCATCTTGGCTAAATTCGAATAATTTTCTGGCAGCCATCCTACTTAATTGTGGATGCAATAAAGCGCTAGCATAGGTAAAGGAATAATCTTCATAATCACCATAATCTTTTTCCAATTCTTTCACACCTCCTCGAGCTCTATTGAATAGAGTATGGTCGACGTTGTCTGGTGCTTGTAATTGTTCAAGACGTATTTCCAAGAGTTGATATATTCCAATAAAACTCCATAGTATTAGTTCTCAATTCTTTAAAAGGTGGCTCTAAAATTGTTCATAAAATATTTTGTTGACTAGTAGGTTCTAAAAAATCCTCATTCTCAAGTATATCCAACATATGTGACCAAGTTGCTTGAATGTTTCATCTCGTTTGTCAATACCCCATTCAATCTGCTCTATAAATTGGTTCTAAATGATCTAAAATAAATACAGCAGCACGTGACACGCTTTGCCATCGAGTGGACACTGGTAAGGAGGCTTCATTACATCATTAAAATTATTAAGGTCATCACAATAATAGTACCATCTTGTGAATTAAAATAATTTTCAACAAATTGAAAATCGAATTTCAAAATATCACCAACCAGCGTAACGATTTCAATCCGATCGTAGCTTTGAATCACCCTTCCAACATGTCTTTCAAAGTCCTTTATAGCATGTAATAAAGTGTTTGTATACCAAATTCAAATTATTTACAACAAGTAACATGTTACGTTGAGCATGGCTAATTGGCAACTGCAATCACATTCGCCCCATTATCGGACATCATAAAGTCAACACGACGGCCATTCCATCCACTCTCAGCTTGTTTCACAGTTTCAAATAAGGTCTGTGCTGTTTGATTTAACATGGGTTGAATTTTTGAGCAAATGGTTGTCCTTTGTACTTGAGTTTCAATTGACGCTCTGTTGATACATTTTACGAGTGTCTTCTTGACAATGTAGCTGTTTCTGAGCAACATGGTGTATTGTTCTGAAATTATTTCCAATTCCTCTTCATTCAAATGTTCAATCATGTTATAAAATATAGACACAAAACCATCACTTTCATCAATCATACGAGTAATTTTCCCTGGAGGTCGTAATTTATCATTAATAATTTCATCTATGGCTCGGGAAATGGCTTTCATGTGTCTTGAAAGACAGCTATCCGATGGCACATCTAATATCTTTTTTCCAAAGAATACGTGTTGGAAAGCATTATTACAAATTTCGAGTTTTCGGATTGGTATGTGAGTTTCCTTGAGTGCTCGAAATAAATTCAAAATGTAGTGGTATTCGGTGCGATTATTTTTTTGCGAAGTGTAGCTGCAACCACATTTATGCCTTGGATGTCCATTCGTCGAGATTGCTCTTCGATTGGTAATAACACATCTTGAGTAGAAACTGTCCTTGAATTCACTGAGAGGAGTGTTGAAGAAGGTTATGACGGACCCATTTAGAATTCTTGTTTTGGTTAACTCACCATGTGATAAGATGAGTCACAATACGATCCTGCGATCTGACTTGTATCCACATAAACAAGTCAAAGAAAGATCTGTGCGAGTTTTAAGTGCTTACGAGTGATCGATTTCTCAAATTTCCTACATACTGCGCAGATGGCATAATAGTGTTCAATATTTTTGTTTGCTAAAGCAACAACATTTAACGTACTTCATTCGATACCAACCTCACTCTGGATATAGTAGTCTTCTATTCCTGACGTCAACACTGTTGTTCCTTTCAGAGTTTTGACTTAAACATCGTATTTGGTTGTCAGATCTGCCAGTTTGTGGGTACCTTGAAAGGACGCACTTGTGAATACCACAAGAATGTATACACCACACCAGAAATCCAAATATGGGTGATTGACACAACCATTAATGAGCACAGTATCGGAGAAACCATTCCATTTGTGTTCTTCGACGACAGAATGTGTGCTGCATTATGATCAAACACCACAAGATATATACCTCTCTCGAGCATACTCATTGGCCGGTGATGTGTTGTTGTCTTTACGACACGATCAGACAAACCTCATCTACGATTCGATTCGTCAACATTGATCGATCGATTGCATTCGAAGAAATTGAATTCAAATGGATCATGCAAACAAGAACTCTTCAATGTTCGGTCATTCCAAACAGAGTGGTGTTATCTCTGTCATAATTCGTTTAATCCAATCACGGGCAAACCTAAAAGCCGAACAGAAAAAGAGACACTTACACACTGTTTGCAAAAAGAGAAGCTTGGTTTCGGCCCTGAACTTGTCGATTGATCGCTTATTGACAGTTGGCTTTTCATGAAAGAGAAGTATCTTACAATACCGAAACCTATATTAAAACAAGCAAAGACTGACTGTTGTAGTAGCGGTATTCACTTGGGTTGTTTCAACTGCCAAACGTTACTCCTCTTGTTGTTTTGAAATTCTAATTTTCAATTGCCAAACAGACAAAAACAACAAAAGAAGAAGAAAATATCAAATCTCTCAATTGATTGGTGATCATCAACAACAACAACAGTTCTTGTGCCATGGTGTTGATTACGTCTTGTGCTTGCAACACTGCTGAATGTCGGAATCAGCAAAATCAAAGCCTTCCTCCAACAACAACAACAACCATCCACAACAACAATCCCAACAACAACACCAGATAGGCTCTTCTTCGACTTGCTCTTCATTCACAACGGTACAGAAACAGCAACAAGAAAGGTCGCGACCCACAGAAGAGAAAGAATTTGAAGGAGCAGACTCTTCGTCATCATTAAATCCAATCCTTCCGCCATCATCTTCTTTGCCATCATCATCACAATGCCTCAACCATCCTCAAACTGAAACGATTTATTCATCATCATCATCGCCTCCATCCACTTCATCTTCTCCTTCAAACAGTCCACCTTCCATGAAAACCACCATCGGAACCACCCAATACCAATACCACCCCTCTGATGTTCTTTAAAACAACTGCTACATAATCAAAAGATGCAGGCTCAAATAGGCTCTAAATTATCATTCCTTCCGCTTCTCTTGGTTTGACCTTTTGTTGGGAGAGAGGTCCTCTTTGTTTTTTATGTGCACTGTGGAGAGTTGACGTTTCATTTCGCCTTGAATTCTCGCATGCGAAAACATGTCAAGTCTATCAAAGTTTTGTACAATATAATTCTTTAAGATTAGTGGTGGTTGTTATATTGCAGTGGATATTGCAACTTTATTACGGTCATTCTGTTCCACTGCATGTTTTTCATACTTACAAGATTTTAATATCTGCGAATGTGTTTTACAATAATTTAAGGTGGTTTTATGTTAATACGATTTTACTTTTGGGTTCTAACTTGATTGGAATGTACGTGGCCTTCCTAACAGAACGTGACAAGATGACAGAAGAGCAAACGCATGCCTTTTACCAGAGACTTGTCGAAGTATTTATTTTACAATACTCGGTGGTCGTTGGGTCCTATCTATTTTCTAGTGTCATGTCAAGTAAGACCGACGAAAGTACTCAACACCTAGTTGAGGTGGAGCGAGAACGTGTGAAAAACAGTGAGAAAACGAAATTCATTGCCAATTTGAGTCATGAAGCGAGAAATCCATTGCATTGCATTATGGGAAGTTTACAAGTGTTGAATCATCATTTTGAGGGAGAGAAGTGTTTGAATGGATGTAAACATTGTTTTTGAATAATAGTGCCATCAATGAAATCATTGAAGATATTAAGGAAAATGCAACATTATTACTGCACATTTTATCATCCTCATTGCAAATGACCTCACTTGAGATGGGAAAGATCAAATTGAAACATGAACCATTCAATTTGAAATTTTGTTAGATTCATTGATTGGTTTTTTCACAATTGGCTCATGAAAAACAAATTTCATTGCATTGTTTTTCAATGTCTCAAAAGTTCCACAACTGTTGAAAGGTGATTCTGTTCGATTGAGTCAAATCATTATGAACATCATCTCGAATGCCATCAAATACACCAAGAAGGGTTACGTCAGAGTTAACTGTGATTTGGCAAATGACGAAGACTTGAAAAGTTTTGACAACCATGAAATAATGATTGACGAGCATAATGAAAACATGATACCTCAGGATCAAAAGATCTTTGTGAAACTTGAATTTATTGACACTGGTTGTGGTATTTCTCAAGAACAAATTCAGAAAATTTTTCAACCTTATCATATCATTGATGAACATCAACAAAATGAAGATTTCTCCCTGGGATTTGAGCAATACTTTAACCATTCAGAATATGAACAAGTTAAGCGATGGTGGAAGCAGCTTGATTAACACCAATAGAAATGGGCTTGGATTGAGTATTACAAAATTACTGATCAACAAAATGAATGGTCACATCAAGGTGAGCAGTACACTTAACGTTGGAACCAACGTTACAATTCTTCTGCCTCTCGAAACACTCTCAATGACAGCTCAGAAGTCATTTCTGAAATATTACGAGGAGATGATGTAAAAGATATTCACGTGTTGGTGGTGGACCAAGACGAATGTTTCCAAACTGTTTTACAAAGTTATTTGAAACTTTTCACAAAGGTTCGAAAAATTGAATGCCGAACTCGGTGGAATCTCTTGAAACTCAGCCATTGCCAGGTGGTAACATGGTGAAGGTTATTTTGTTCCTGAGGGTGACTATTCTCGAGTGACACAATTATTTTCGAACGGAACCAAGGAGAATGATTCTGTCATCATTACCCCAACGATTTTCAAGGGGTCTCAAAGATCCTATCCCCATCTGAAATATCTCTCCAAGCCTGTGAAATTTTCTGAGATTGTAGATGTTGTCGAATGACAAGATGTTCTTGAAGGAGAACAATGTCACAAAGCAACCTCTAAAGGACAATCATGTGTTGGCTCCATCAAACACGAGCTTTATGTTACCAACCAAAGACATTACGACTACATCTCCTCTTTCTTTCAAATCTCACCAAGATTACGACCGCCGCTCAACACGACACCGCTACTACTTGTGTGCGGACATTTGATTTCGCGTCGATTTCTGTGCTTATTGCAGATGATAATGCAGTGAATCGAAAAGTATTGATGAAAATGTTGCAAATCATTGATTCAAAGATATTGACACTTCCAATGATGGAATGGAATGTTTTGAAAAGTTCAAACAAAAAGCATATCAACTCGTCTTGTTGATTGTTACATGCCCATTCTGAGTGGACGAGAAGCGTGTGAAATGATTCGAAATTTAGAGAAACAAGGCAATTCTATCGATAAGGAATACCATCACAAGCGAGTGCCCATTATTGCCATCACAGCAAATACATGGGAACCAAGAGACACCTTGCTCTCACAAGGTTTTGATGATGTTGTTTACAAACCAGTGATTTTGGAACAATTTCGACAACTCTTACTGAAATATCTGGACCGTCAAGAATTCACAACAGCCAGCACTAAAACCAATGGCAACGACATATCCACACAGGAGAAATAAACCTTCACTGGTATACACAAACCTCTCATTGAGTCTCGTTCTTTATTTCACTAGTTAAATACCTGAATTTACTTCATCAAGACATCTTTTCTCAAACTTGACAAATATCTCAATTTACCTGAATTTACTTCATCAAGACTTGTCTGGCCTTATTTTGATCATTCGAGAAACCAAATTTGCTCACCACAGTCTCAGCGTTTTGCATACGATCATAGATTTGACCAGCAATCAATTCCAAAGCCTTCATCTTATCATTATCAAATCCAAAGCAAGAGAGAATATTGGCAGCATCGGAACAAGACATGCTAGCCACATTATTGGTCGATTTCAGTTGAGTCAAAGCCTTAATCTTATCATTATCAAACCAAAGGCATTCAAGATGGAAACAATCTCTGAGCATAGACTGGTCCGTGTTGAGAGGAAGAATAAGTCTGAACAGCCTTCACCTTATCACTATCAAAGGAAGCCTTGGACTGCTGCAAGAATTTGCTTTCCCAAATTGGAGGAACCTCCCATCATGGTACTGGTGGTAGTGGTCATAGTGGTCATATGGACCTGAGGTTGTGGTTGGTATTGTGGTTGTTGAGGAGGCATGTAGGTGTTGTTGTTGTACATCATGGTGGATGGTTGCGAAGGTGGTGGAACAGTCATTCCCACATTCATTCCCATCATGGGCATTCCATATTCATATTCACTCCCATTCCGCCATAATATCAAAACCAACACTCATGCCAATTCCTGGTTGTTGTTGTGGTGGTTGCATGCTAAATCCCATATTCATTTGTGGAGGTTGATTGGGTTGTTGTTGTTGTCCATTAAAGCCAAAACCGAAATTCATTTTCAAGAATTTTCTTGGGTGGTAATGATGATGATCCAGATAACAGCAGAAGGAAACGATCCAAAGCGATCTTTAATTGTTTTTTTGTTTGCAGTAATATTCGAAACTCACAACAACCCAATCAAACGGAGAATGTCCTCTTTTGAATTGGCGTTCAAAGATTGTAACATGCAGTAAAAAGAGATTTTCATTGGTTGCGGAGGTTGCACAAGGAAGAGCCAAAGTCGCGTGTAACAGGCCAAAACTTGTCTGAACTTTTTTCCAATCGTATGACAACCAAATGCCATAATGGATGGTAAAATTTCAACCAATCTACATTGATGACGAGGTGGTGTTAACATGTCCAATGGGAGTCCACTCACTCGAAAGAATCTTCTTCCAGATTCATTCGAATTTGATAATTTTCGCAATCTTCTTGTTGTTGGCCTTACTACTAGATCATTAAGGTATCAAAAAAAAAGAGATGAATGCAAACAGAACAGAGAGATGACCTCTGTCCATCCAGGAACACCCATCATCCTTTTTAGAAGAATTTCGCTCCTACATGTCTTTTAAAAGCAAGCGCCAAAAAAAATGGGAAATCAACTGGCTCATCGTTTCTCCTCATCTCGGAATGAGAGTGGTGCCGTTGATGGCAACACTACTACCACTGGTTCTCATCAGCAGCAGCAGCAGCAGCGTGTGGATGCGGCCATATATAGTTTTTTTCTTCTCCTCTCCTTCTTCTCATCATCTCTTTGGAATGAGGATCATTTCGGAATCCAACCACACTCAGGAGAATGCAGCAGACTTTCTCAAGTTACGGAAACGGAGTAACAGTACAAATTCAAATTCATACCGAAAGAATACGAGTAACAACAAACCATCAACAACGACAACACCATCGACGCCATCCTCTCGGAATAATGCTGGAAACCAGGAGAATGGATTGTTGTTGAATAATAATAACCCGAAAGTCATTGTGGAAGAGCCGAGCGGAAATACCCAATCATCAACTAGTGTTGCATCGAGTCAATCAGTGGGCATATTACCTCCTTACCGTGGTCATCACCGAAAGACTATCTCAGCCAACCACCACCTTTATCACTACTTTTGAGTACGACGAATACTTCCTCTCCACAAAACCATAATTATTTATTGTACAATTATACGCTGGCTTCATCGGCTCCTGCTAGTCCGATACTGAATAATTATTCCCTGTCACCAATTAGTAATAATGGAGGAGCCATGTCGACAACATCGTCACCTTCAGTAGAGATTCAAATTTCGTTTCTTCAAGTGCATTTAGTAATGCAGGATATGATTCACACAGTGCTGGTGACAATAATGGATCAACATTCACACCACAACAACGAGTGGTCCATGAGAAACTAAGACAAATTTTTCCTTCCATGAAAAACGTTCCCGATTATTTTCTTTCATACTTTTCGATTGTTCTTTCAGATGAAGTAGCATTGCGAGACACGATTTTTCAAGTGGAAATGATATTTCATTCTATTTAGAGATGCAATCAAAATTGAGGACTTGTTTTTTGAACGAAGAAGAAGAAAAAACTA